GAAATCGGCTTTCTTTGGTATTTTGACCAGAAGTCCTTCTTTTCAGTCTGTTGGTGCTTGTTCTTCATCCCAAATCTTGCTAAAGAGAATGATCCGTATCTTTGCATTAACTGCTACATCCGCTTTCAGTGCCTCTGGTGGAATGTTGTCTGATCTCGGCGCTTTGCTGCTCTTGATTTTTATGATTTACGGTAATTTCCAGCGAGCTTCTTTGTTGTATCATACAATTGTCTCATGTTTCATTCTCTTGCAGCTTTTTCCGCCGCCATCGCTAGACCTTCCACGTATTTACGTTTGTCGGCTCCGGTTCTCCTCTTTGCTTGCTTGTTTGCTTGCTTCAGTGTATTCAGATTGTGCCTTCACTCTCTCTGCTCTTGTTCGTCTGTTGTTAATTGCTGTCTTCTTGTTCTTTCTATCTTGAATCTTGTGCACGGTTTCCATAGAGATCTATTCTTCATAATGATGCTTCTTGTGGCCTAGAACCTCATGCCATGTTGAAGTGATTGCCTCCTTGATCCCTTTCCAGTTCTTCATCATGGTAGTTTCCTGTCTATTGAGTAGATGGTGAAAGGTCTGTAACCTATTGCTGAGGGCTATTCTGAACCCGTTGGGTCTGTCAGTATCCCGAAGGAGGTTCGTATTAAACTTTTGTGATGTCCTCTCCGTTGTCCAGTGCTTCTTGAGCTTCAGTTTCATCTTGGCGACCAGCAAGTGATGATCTAATGCTAAATCAACTCCTCTCTTGCTTATCACATCCTCCATTGTTTTCCTGAACTTTTTATTGATGCAGATATGGTCGATTTGGTTTTGCGTGGTGTGATCCGGTGAAGTCCATGTGGTTTTGTGTATGCGTTTATGTGGGAATATTGTTCTGCCTATGACCGGTTTATTGAAGGCACATATGTTTGCAAATCTCTCACCATTTTCGTTCCTTTCACCTAGTTCACGTCGTCCCATGATGTCTTCATATCCGGTTTTGTCCATTCCAACCTTAGCATTTAGGTCTTCCATTAAAATGTTCAAGTCTTTTGTTGGACATTTCTCAATGGTTGACTGCAGCCTGCAGTAGAATTTATCTTTAACGTCTTCATTGTAGTCGTTAGTAAGCGTGTAGCATTGGATAACATTCATTGTAATGCCCTCCCTTTTTTGTTTTGAAAGAGGCTTTGATGATCCTGCGTCCATGAGAATCCCATCCTATAAGTGCATTTTGTGCTGGTTTGGATAGCATCAATGCCACTCCTTGTATATGTGGAGCACTTTCTTCCTCATGGCCGGAGTATAACAGCAGCTCTCCTGAAGCTAGTAGTTGTTGCTAACTTGGGTCTAATGTGTTTCGCTGATTTCAAGCACCTTCAGGTTGTATCTTTTCATTCCTACAGCAACTTGGATGATTCTCCCGGTCTCCCACATTGTACGAGCATTCCGTGTACCTAAATTATTGATCGCTTTGGTTGTCAGAAGTAGCATCAGCGTCGTGACTTCCGAAGGAACTCGACTTTCAACATGAAACATTACAACTCTTCTAAATGAAGACCTTTCAACTGCCAAGGCAGAGTTTTTTAGCTAGTTAGTTTCCTACGGGATGGGGTCACTAACCTCATACCCAACCCTCCTCCTTCATCCGGGCTTGGGACCGGTAGTAGCCACAGAGAGCCTCCAGGTGGAGTTTTAAGAATGATACAAATTACTTTATTTGAAGTTATAGTAGAATATTTTTAAAAGCGTAAAATATTTTCGTAGACATAAACGTACTTGGATTTGTTTGGAAACTTAAATTTACATGAATCATATTTCTCCATGTTTCTTGAAGTTACAATTATAAGAATACTGAGAATCACACAAACTAGAAACTCTTCATCAATAAACTATTTACCATTTATAATACAAAATAGACAAAAATCAACAATCATTTTCTTGTCATAAATTGGGTTTAAAATTTCATTTATTGAAAGATGCGTAAGTTAAGAGAATACGATTTTTATTAGAAAATTGATTAAAATTAATAATGGTTTTAGAAAATTTGTTGATTATGCCTTTAATTAATTTTATAATGAAGAGAATATTTGTAAATGTTCATATATTCCTTTGTTCAATTATCAAGAGATGGATGTCAGTGAATCAGAAGTATGCACCTTCAACTATCGACTTGTTACGTGTAATAATCTAGTAGATTAGGAGAAAATAATGTCAAAATAAATTCTAGTGTGTGTAATGAAAAGGAGAATTATATGAAATTCCTTGTTAAATCTTAAAAAATCTGTTATCGAGAGAATAGTTGGATTATTGTTTAAATAACATTTTACTATAATCAAATAGAATGTTTAAAAAAAATGTAATAATCAGTTTGTTCCTATTTGATCCATCTAGTTGAATATTATTGTTTAGTCTATTTTGTATTTCAGTCCTATTTCATGTTGAATCTTTTAAATCTTTTGGAACAGTTGTCTATAATCGATTTTCAAGATTATAATTATTTCATACTCTTAAGAAATGTATCATATTATTGATCTTAAAACGTTTAGCAGTTATTTAAACCTGTAATTTTCCCAGAGATCAAGCGTATCATGCTTATAATCAACTGCAGATTTTTTATACAATTGCCAAAACCATATATATATATATATATATATATATATATATATATATATATATCCATTCAACGTTAACTAATTAGATCCAGTCACTATTTATTCTGTTAGAGACATATATTGATTATTAATATCTGTTAACTTTAATTATCTGGAAAATTCACGAGTCAAATAAATACTTTCGTGGCGTTGAAGTATGTTAGCTTGATTATGAACACTTCTCATTATTCTATGAATCATCATCACCTCCACTGTCCAACAGAAGATGGTGTAGTGTATTTATTCCTAAACTACTAAGTCGATCTGTTATAATAATCTTCTATATCACTAATCACCTGTTTCTAACCTTTGCTCGCCTCTTTAAATTCGTCTACCGTATGGTTCGATATATCAAATCATATCTAACGAATCGATTACCGATTGATGCCATGTATCGGAAAATGCTCCAACGTGATACAAATTTCAGTGACTCAGCATTTTCAATATTATCTAGATTAAATTAGGTCACTCATTTTTCTGAGTATAACATTTTGTGAGAATACAGTCTTTAATCTATGTTCGTATATATATATTAAGGGATTAAATATTCACATTTCCTAAGGCATTGATTCTCGCAGCTAATTCATTTCATTTTATAAATGATAGTGGATTTACATTCCTACGCCGTTACGCTGTTCATCCTCCAGTTTATGATTCATGTCTAAGTTATCCTCCCCAATCTATTAGGTACGGAGAAGGAATTAATATCATCAAACTGGAAAAGAAATACATTACTTTTACTGTTTTATCCAACGCAGTTGAATAAACCATTTACTCATCTTTACTGTTACAAATTTCGTTTACAACAGAATTGTTCAAACAGAATTTAGTCAACAAAAATAACTAATACAGGTGCAATAAATAAATAATCCAGCACTGAATTCTTCCAATGATATTTGCTCACATAAATCACCTATTTGCCAATAGTAACTTTACTGTAGGTAAAAAGGGTGTAAAATAAGCATGATTAAATTCCTTTCTCTTCCTATCTCTCTCTTTCTCATGAAAATTGTGTACTATGTAAATGTAATAAAAACTTCTACTTAAATTTATAATTCATTCCTAAGTAAATAGTTCAATAATCATTGAACATCTATCCATAACTTTGGTTAATAGTTTAGTTAATAATTCTGTAGTCAATTTGAACTTTACAGAGTAGGAGATTTTATTAGCCATTACACGCATTTATCAGTTATATGTAACTGTACACATTCATTCCTCACATATTTTGTTTTACTAACTATTAAATTATTCAATAGTTCAAAGAAATTAAAGCGCTAACTTTTAATGTAGATAACCTTTAATGAAATAACTATAATGAATATATCAATGCATAATTAATTTTTTATGGTTGAACTTAAACATGACTACTGCCATAAATTAGTAGTATATAAAATGTTCAATAATAAAGTTATGATTTTATAGCTCATGTACTTAAAAAATATGAGATTAAAGAAACATTATATTCATCTGACTCGATATTATAATGGGAAAAATGGGAAGATATGTATGTGAAATTTAGGTCAATAAATAAACTTATACATTCCTGAGATATTCAATTGGAAAGTATGTAACCCTACCTTACATTAGTATGACGATAGTCAACAACTGATTTAAATTTAATTTTGTCAATAATGATTCTGCCACAGAATTATGGCACATCAACAGATCGTCACACAAACGCACAAGACTTAATGAAGTACTTTTTTAGGGACTTGGGTTATTTGCTAAGTTTTGTTTTCAATACGTGTTCACCTATATTTCAAGAATCATCATAAATTGAAGAGCATAGGATACTATGTCGTCTTGCTTTTGAAACGCCAAGTAGTTCGTTTAGCTTGTATTATACACTGAGTAAAACTCATCATATCTCCCCAAGTCATATAATGTCGATGATACCTTAGGAAAAACAAGCCAGAAATCAGCAAATTTCATTTCTAAATTCAGACAATTTCAGATACCTTCTGTTCATAGTACCACGTCATATCCTAAAAGAACTGGATCTCACTAAACCGGCCTACTTTATACACACAGATTCATAATATCACTAACATTCAAGATTCTATATAATTCTCTCATACTGAAAATTATCTATAACTCATTGGCGAGTAATTTCCAGAAAGTAATGCAGAAACCATAGTGAGAATCTGTGACTGGTGAAATCCAAAATCAAAACCCAACCACTTAACAAATATGAAAACTGTTTCTTGGTTTTCAATACATACTGTTAGATCAAAAAAATAATTCAGTTCACTTGCTTGATATATATATATATATATATATATATATATATATATATTTGTATATAAATTTATAACTTGTCTACCATTTCTTATATTCCTTTTTTTCTTTTCTATTATTCATCAACAGTTTCTATCAAGGTTATCAATTGAGTATGAGTGATTTGAAAAAAGCTACAACCGCTTCCAAGCAAACAGCAGGTTGCTTATTTACAAATTTTGAAGATGTTAGGGTAAGTCAACTTTAATTCTTAAATTCATTTTTGTTTAAAGAAAAACCGAATAAACATTCTGATTTCATGAAAGTTAATATTAATTTCAATTAGTTTACACCTGATTTTGTACATTATTCCTATGCGAAAGGTTCAGTCTTGCTTTTATCTTGTTTTGCATATTATGTATAATTACAATTGATTGATCATTGAGTATTGTTAAATAGCTTGAAACCTAGGTACAGGATACCCTGTTGACTACTTCCAACCACCACTTTAATGTACATCTGTTTGATTAAAACAATATATATTGGAAATGACTCCAGTATAACTACTACTACTTACTGTGTCTCTATATAGGTATTTGATGCTTATAAGATAAAATGACAATCGTAATTCGGATAGTGTTTTTTTAAAAATAGAAATCATTGAAAAAAATAATAACTGGTTATTAGATCAGTGATGATTATAAGGTAGCAAAACACAAATCGTGAGTGTTTTCAGCACCATCTATGTTGTTTGTAAAGTTGGATGATGTTTAGAAGTGGAATCCAGAAAGCTCATTTTATTCTACTTGACACTTGTTACCTGGATGTGTCTGGACCTTAGTGTGATGTTCACACCAAGAATTGAACTCACTAGTTTTCATATCAAACTCTTAGCGTATTATTCACTGAGCTACTAAGTCTAGGTGGCACCTGCCTTGTGCAAAGTGGATGGATTGCATTTACGATACTTTAAATATATGTAACAATATTGAGACGATTCACTTGCAACGAGCTTATGACAAAAGAAACTGATCAGTTGCAGTCTTTAACATATCGAGCAGAATAAACAAACAATTACATACTGAATATGTTGGTTCGATATTAAAAGAGTGGAGTGATTGTGTCTGTTGAACATGAAATTTATTCGCGTAGTCAACGGAGAGTAAGTAAATGTGACTAATATGAACAGCTCACCAAATAGGTTTCCGGAAAATTATAGCTCCTTTACGTGTATTGAGTATTTAGCCAACCATATATGGCTATTGGTTATATATCTCTCCCATTAAATCGGTAAACACACTGAATTAAATATTGATCACAAAAGAATTATCCCCAACCGTTGTTTGTTAAGAGTGACTTCATAGAACATTTATTTCAATAGAAAGTTGTCTTTGTGACAGATGTCAAACCATAACAAAATGTTTATAAGGGAACAACTCTATCTTGCTCTTTTTATCAATCTGAATCATTGAGTTAAGAAAAAAAATTTATTATCTATTCATTATATTCAAAATGTCAACATTCTCACTCAGCTAATTCTCTAGTGTAAACCACTTGATCAGTCACATAAATCACAAATTCTTACTAGAAAATAGAAGAGTTTATCACGAACTTGTTAAGTCAGTAAAGCAAATGATTAATCATAAGTATTATAACGTAAAAGTTTTGAAATACTGCAAAGTTCTAAACAATGGTGAAATCAATGTTTTCATATACTATTGTAAGTTTGTAATGGAAATTGCCTTTTAAATGTATTAAACAGTACATAAATTCATTAATTTATCGACAACCTTAAATATTAATTAGACGTTGATAATAATAGTACAACATTTTCTATATATTGTCTACAAATAATAAAAAAACGATATCAAATGCCCGACTATCCAAACTTGAAATGTATGAAGTTCATCCGATTTTCCTTTTGTTAATAATTTCTCTATAATATCTCAAGGTTACATTTGCAATTCTATATCTTGAATATGTTACTTTGATGCATTCTTTTATCAAGTCCCCTAAGAATTACATGAAATATCGTATACTATTAGCCGTCGTTTTTTAAATTGTTGACATTTTCCAAATTTATTTATCATTAAATATATATACTTCAATCAAATTACAACTTGATTTCAGATACAAACTAAGCTAACAAGATTATAGAAAGTTTAAATCATTGGTGCATTACCATAGAAGTGTACTTACATATACAATAAGTTTTTACTCTAAAACCAAAATTATCTTCATTGTTTTGTTTGTCTGATTGTTTTTCCCTAACAAATTTTCATTTTATTTCTGTTGGATCATCAATTATTTTTATATTTAATTTGTTAACTTTTTGTGTTTTTTTCTTTTTCTACTTAAAACAAAATCAATTCGATTAGTAATCTATCGAAATGATTCGAATCATAACAATTAGCGGTTCATAAATAGACATTGTTAAATTCAGTACATTACATTAAGTAAAATAATTAAGAATTATTTAGTCTCTATTCTTTTTTTCTTCAAATAAGAACAGAGAATGAAGGTAACGAATTTGTATGGAGATTAGATTTCTTTATTTTAAATTTAATTTACTAAATGACTATCATTGTTAACTTTGAAATATACCCTATGTGCATATGTGTAGTTAGAAAATAGTTGTCTTTGAAAGTCTAGTTGCACACAACACTTATTTTGACGATTGTACATGCTGACCATATGTTGAATGTTAGATCATTATCGAATACTTTTGTACGTTTTCAGTATAAGACAGAAGTATTTATGTGGGTAATAATAATAATAACACTATTTATTTTGGTACAAGATAATTAATTCTGTAAGTAAAAATTCGATTCCAGTAAGAAAAATGTTTACGGAAAATCAAATCGCAAATTGAACGGGGATCAGTGAAGTTCAACTATGTTGGATGAAAGATAGTTATCTACTGCAGTTAATGGACTAGGGTTGAACGATATTGCATGTTGGTTGGAGTTTTACAATAACACCACTGTATCGTGGCTCAGGGGTACAAAGGTTCAACATTCGCGCATGAGACTGGACGATTTCTGTTTGATCCCCGGATTTAAGGTTGTGGGTGTGCACTCCTTGTTCAGTGAGGAAGAAACATTCAAACTCGATATCATTTCATCAACTATAGGAATAGTACTGATATTATTCTTGAATTCAGTACAGCTTTTGATTTAATAATTAACATATGAATTGTTATTTATCCATCATTTAAGTTCTTAAATTTATGAAAAAATTCATAAATTTTAAAAACAAGATCGATTCAGAGATGATTTTCGTCACGAAATGAACTCAATTGGAAAAAATTCAAATATTTTGTATCATTCTACTTGATTTAACAAGTCATATGACAAAAACGAAGCATTAAATTGTAAAGATGTATCCTTATCATCAGGTAACAATTCCTCAGTGTCGTAGTTATCACACGGAGTTAAAAAGCTAACATCATCATAATGTATCTTTAGATTTTACTATATGAATATGTTTGTTTTTACTTACGATAGCTGACTGAGAATATATACGATTGTTTTATATGTGTTTAAGTAAGTCTTGCATGCATCAATTGAGAGATTGAATACATTTCCGTAAATTTTTATAGCATCTCTCTCTCAGTGGTCAATATGTCTTCACTAACCAGCATCTTTCGGTTCCGTCAGTGGATTCTTAACACAAGAGCATAATTTTCACTGATAATTTTTTTCTTAGTATTAATTTTCACACAATTTGTCTTTCTCATCCGGCAATTTGTGATGCGCTACAGTGGCGTGTTCGTATAAGAAATATGTCAATAGCATTAAGTGACAGAAATGTAACTTACAGTGAAAATTGCACTCATATATATAATACTGACGCATTATATAAGGATAAAAATGCCCGACAATACCGACGTTACACTTTTATCGCACATTGAAGACAGAATGGTTATCCTCATACATCAGTAGAAATACCTCCCAAGTAGAGTGTAACCAAAATCTTGAAAAATTATTTTACTTGACATATATTATGCACGTTTAATCAACGGAGTTTCAACAAGATTCCTAAACCTTAAGTGTAAAAAGAGATGTAAATTGTGAAGAATTTAAAACACCCAGAAATAAAGATTGACAAAACTAATGATTATTTTGCAAAATGCAGTCGATTTCCATAAGTCAACTCCTATTCTTTAACTTTTACAATTCCAGTTACAAATTTGTAAATATTAGTTAACAAAAACAATTAGTGTGAGCATTAATTTAGTCTATGAAAGATTCATTGTGACTAAACGATAAATTGTCAATAGCTTAATTAGAACACATATATATTTGAGGTAAATTATAATTTGAACATATTTAAAACAGAAATATGCAACTACTGATCTCTTTGAGAATTACAAATCTAACAAGTGAATTCATGAGTCGATTGAAGCTAGACCACCATGGAAAACCTGAAAGCACTGGATGGACGTTTAGTTCAAGTATGGGACTCTTCAGCAGTGTGCATCCCGCACGCACGACTCAAATACAAAACCAACGGTCTCATGCGCGAACGCTTAACCTCTAGAGCACTGAGACGGCTTCCAGGTTTTCCATGTAGGTCGAACCGACTCATGAATTCAACTATTAAACTACTACAATCTCCACAAAACCTTTCTGATAATAACCAAAAATCTGTTTATTTATCAGAAATACAGATTAGATAAGTAGCTTGTATTTTTGATCGTAATCAGTTGTTGAATTACGGATTATCGCATTTTCTATTTAAATATCTCATTTGAAGTTGTTCCCACCAAAACCGTAAAGATACATTCATCACCTCAAAACAGACCGTTATTCATTAACATCGTGAGTGACGATGTCTTCTACATATATAATGAGTACAATTTCCATGTTTCTTAAATAAAATGTGATTTAAGATGTGTGATCATCAAGACTACTTTAAACTTTGTTGCATCCCAATTATTCCTGAAGCATGATTTGATGTATTTGGTTGAAATCACAAATTTTAACTGATATAAGCGTTAGCGCGTGAAACCGGATGTCGAAGGTTTGATTCTCGCATGAAGTGCCATGGATGATCACTTCTGAGAACTTCCACGCTAGGCCGAAACGGCTGTCTAGTGCTTCTAGGTTGTTAATGGTGACCTAACATTGATTGGTTAACGACTGCAATGACAAAAATTAGCTTCAATAAGCATACAAATTTATACACCACATCTCTTGCATTCGACTTGTAGAATCTATTTTATTTCTTTTCTTAGAGAATGTCACCGCATAAAACTATAAGCCTTTCTCATTAATTAACTTGAAGAAGTGTGTATGTCTCAGAATAATTGAAACGCTGAATGTAATGAACATTTGTTTTGTCATAAGCTGTAACACCATTTCTCTCTCTCACCATATATATACATATTATACATGAGTTTTTTAACGGGATTGGGGTCAGTGTGTCCAAAAAGTGGTAGATTTATTCTATCAATTTTACATGAACGCACGCTTATATTGTTTCGCATTGGACATCAATTTGTTCTCAAACGTATGATGATGATTCGTAGATTTGTGCAAAATGATAATAAAATTATCTAATTACATCAATTATAAATATGATTATTAAATGTAGGTATATGTTATTGTTATAAAGATGTAAGATTTTGATTCAATCATCAAGTAACAACTGTTTAGAAATTATTTTTTCGAAACAATTTAAAGATCATAACAACGGAATTCATATTTTGTTGATTGAATCCGATTCTTACCTTAAATATTGGTATGAGGAATTAGATCTTTTCGTAAAGTAACTTAGAAACATTCATATGGTTTAGTAAAGGTCATGCACATTAGCGGCTGTTTGGTCTCAGTACCTTAATGAATAATGGATTGTGCATTTCAAGGAAAATGTACTGGGTTCAAATTCCATAGTGAACATAATATTTCGGTTTCAGGTTTATCCAACTGATGAGTCCTAGACAAGGTGAAACTGGAGTACCTGATTCCATTCCCATCCATATACCGACTATTTTATTCATATAGTTCTTGATTATATAATCCCTAGTTTACGTAATAAGTCAAAACAAAGTTTTCATATAATTTAAACAAATTTAACTTTAGTACTGATTGAAGTAAATAGTATATACTTTTATTTTTAAAGAACTTCTTAATCCATATGTTTTATATTAAACTTTTCGGTGCTCTATATATCTTTACGATGTCAATTAAGTGAAATTTTTAGACTATTTTTCTTTTTAAGGGGAATCACTTCCAAATAAAGATGTCTGTGTTCGTTTCGCTGAAATCAACCACATTTTAAGTATCTAAAACAGTTCTTCTAGTAACTACAACGTGGAAAACAGATTATAACCCGATTCTCACTCCTTTAGATTTGTGTCAGTTTTAACTTCGATGGACCTCGAATAGTACTGTCTGATATGTAAAAATGAAAATAAATCAATGCTTGTATTCGTTTGGACAAAGTGTTACTCATCAGATAGTTCGAATGCATCTCTTTAATTTCAAAGTAAATGCTCTGAACCATTCTTTATGTTTGGTCAATAAATAAATCAGGATTAAACACTTCAGCTGAATTTCGCCTTAGACATTCAAACACGTTTACTAGGTTTTTTCTAAATTGAGATACTATTGATACACTCATTAGAGCAGTTCGCTAAACCTTATTTAAGATTTTATAGTAATTTCTTAGGGGGATAATATTACCTGTTTAATTTTGTTCATTCTGTAAGACCGATCCACTACTCTAAAGGAAATAAATTGCCCTGTTCCACCTCATAAGCATTTCTTTTAATAACAATAACACTTACTGATGATATTTTGATTATCTTTTGAGGTTATACAACAACTAAGTACAAATTGACTTTCTGACCGTGAAATAGATTATTATCAAAACCTCAAAGTTTTTTATATAAGTCCCATCAATAATTAAATGATTTCGGAATAAAATTGCCAGATTACTAGCAGCTCCAATTAAAAAATCTACTATTGATTGAAGAATAATTGTAAAGAAAAGTTAAAGCGTTACAGAATCACATATCTCAAAATTAATAATCCCCTATATTCTTTTAATGTCAACTAGAACTATCAATATGTTAGACATAGATGAGTGTTAGAATTGAGTCCTCGTATGTATGGTGTTTGTAATAAACCACAAAATTAAACAATAAATAATTTTTCTCAATAAACTTATGTACCATTTCATTGATAATAACCAAGAAATTAAGATTTTTCACTTAAATATTATTTATTTTTCATAAATGAAACTATTTTTATTCACTCGTGATGAGGATGATGATGATGATGAGAGTGATGTAACTTTTAGAAATAATCAAATATAAGAGTTGCACGCAATCTTAACCTGAACAACTGACAAATTTATCAAAAGTTAACACTTAATCAATTCTGTAATTATAGATGTATTGCAATAAATATACATCTGTTCACTTAATTTCATAGTATTGTTCATTGATATGTTTAATAGATCTCTGATATTACTTACCAGCACATAGTAACATAACTGGAATTTCCGACTGTGTATAGATATATCACAGTCTCAAGTAAGCAATATTCATAAGACACAATACGTCATATAAGTTCAACAGAGGTGATTAATTGTATTCAGATACATAAAAAATCAACAATATCAGTAGACATTGATGATGTAAAAACTACTAAACTTACCTGGTAAATATAAAAAATTTATTATCATTAGTAATAATTAACAGCAACAACGATGGGAAATAGAATTACTTATTTGTAAAATTACCATGAGTGGTGTAATGTTTCTTCGAATTAAATAATTTAATTATGATGATAATTTTTCCTGTGAAAATTTTATTTCTATAGTTTTCTATCAAATTAATCAGTTAAATAGTTAATCTTGATTTGTTTTCGGAATAATAGTGTTGGTTAAACATTTGACATGGGAATGAACGAAGTTTACTAATGTCCATGATGTTACTAATTCAGATAAAACATTATTCATTTTAGCTGTCTGGTACAATTCCCAACTTTCATTTCGATCATGAATCGATGAATGTCGGACTACTATTGAAAACCTGTAAGCATTGGACGGCCATTTCGTTCTTTTATGCGCACCTAACTCCATATTGATAATTACAATGTACTCAGTAGTGACTAGCTTCGCAAGGGAATCCTCGGAGTTCTAGTGAGAAGCTGTAACCAGTGGACGTAATGTATTTCGGGTAAAAACAGATATCTACCTTAAACAATGAGTGAATGGTTGCGCAGGATTATGGATCGATTGAAGTTCTATATTAACACTGTTGAATGCCGGCTTAGTAGTGTAGAGGTTAAGCGTTTGCGTGCGATACCGCAGGTCCTGGGTTTGAGTCCCGCGAGCGGGATCACGGATCCGCGATGCTGAGGAGTCCCATACTAGGACGAAACGGCCATTCAGTGCTTCCAGGTTTTCCATGCTGGTTTACCTTCAATCGATTCACAATCTCAATCAAATGAGTAAATTATTCTTTCTTGATTGGATTTTTGTTAAGTATAATCAAAATGAGTTTTTATGAATCATTTTTTAAGCGTGTAACTTATTTATGTAATCCTTCACGCGTAGAGATTATACGTAACAATATTCCTAAACTGTGTATTCAAATTCGTTTTATCAGACCTTTTATCAGCAAATATAGTTAAAATTTAGAACTATTCAATGCTTTTAAGTACAAAATAATATCTATAGGCCTATTAATTAATTAAGTAGACGAATGATAATATTAAAATTGTTGATAAACACGAAAATGAAAATAATCCCGATGTATGATCACGTTGCCTAACTTTTGTGCTATCGTAGAATGAAAAAACACAGCTTTTCAGAGATATTTTATCCTACTTTTTAAAGATTCTTCAGTTGTTTATAGGTTTTGAAATGAAATTACCTTAAGCTACATTTAATCGTCCAAGTGTGAGATATAGAACGCCTGTTTTGTTCTGTCGGACTCGTCAACTGGATACATGTGGACGCCAGTGTTGATTTTCACACAGAGACGTCAACCCAGTGTCTACTGCTTCAAAAGCCAAACAAACTATCCACTGAGCTACTGAGTCCAGATAACTACTCATTTTTCCAGTGAGTATGACATTTATATCATTATTAGAAGGAGTGTGGCTATGCGGAAACAACCCATACAGGACTAACTTATGCTGACAGAAGCTGACCAAAATTCAATCAGTAATATTAACAAATGGAATAACTCGAACCCCTTTCAACAATGACATATATTACATTTTGTTTCGATCAACCATCTATACCTGGTTATTTATAGATATCAAGTTAAAATAACTAACCATAATTATTTAAAAATAATCCATCGTTAGTACTGACTTTCTGTGTTATTACGCTTTGAAAATGATTGATAAATAACTATAATAATATACTTTTAAGGTAATATATATTTCACTAAAAAATAGTTGCCAAGTTCTTAAGCTTATTAGACAGATATTTTTTGTTCAACAATGTTTAAATCAATTATCCTAATTACTAAGTAATATAAATTTCCGATTCAGTGGTAACATAATAAAAATCAAAAGTATTTAACGGATTAAGATTACATAAGTAGTAACTATGATTTAACTGGGTTTTTTCAACAAAATGAAACTCCGGATGTTAGTCAACATTTTTCATTGAATAATAAATGAGATAACGCATTATAATTTATAAATGAAATGTCATATACAAGAACTTGCTTGAATATGTAACTTCCTCTGATGAATTCAGTTAAACAGAAAATCAATATCATGTCTCTATAATACTTATAAATAGAAATTAAAATTAAGACTAAAATCGATTCTTCTCCGAAATACTTGTATAAAATATAGTTATGAAAAGAGCCCATTAATAGTTTTTAACAAAATTACTTACAAACCATGTAGCTCTGGTATTTGTAAAGTTTAAATAAAAACGAAATAACTAATAGAATTTTGAGGCAAATTTATTAATTTTCTGATATTCCTCAGTAGTGTCCCAACTTTTGTCAGTGTCTTCGATTTAGTTTGACCGTTAAATTTGTTGAATAAATCCATAACTGTCTGCTTCATTTCACTGATAAATTTAACTGATTCTGCTGATGCCAGATTTGTCTTCATTTCTAATAATTTAATTGTAGTTGACTGATGAAGAACGTGTTTATTTGAATGCAGCAGCGACAGGCGATATTGGCATCATTCGTATGTCATTAGAAGATACTGATGAGTCAACTGACTTCAATGTAAATTGTGTTGATTATATGGGACGTAATGCATTGCACCTTGCTGTCGATTCAGAAAATACTGAAGTAATGGAATTATTATTAGACAAATTAAGTTTTGAATGTATCGAAGAAGCTTTACTACATGCTATCAGTAAAGGACATCCTAAACTAGTACGTGTTATTATTGAACATCCAAATTATCAAGCTGGTGAAGATCAAATTAAACGAATGGATTCAAGAAATGCATTTTTTCGTACAACAGAAAAAAGTCAATTTTCACCTGATATAACACCATTAATTCTATCAGCTCATTATAATAATCATGAGATGGTACAAATGTTTTTATCACGTAATCATACAATTGACAAACCACATTCAATATCATGCCAATGTAATGATTGTCAAGTTAGACAAGATTATGATTCATTGAAACGTTCACGTTCTAGGCTAAATGCTTACCGTGCCTTAGCAAGTCCAGCTTATATGGCATTAAGCAGTCCTGATCCAATAATGACAACATTTCAACTACGTCAAGAAATGATGAAATTAGCAGAAATTGAAAAAGAATTTAAGGTAAGTACGCTGACAATCAGTTATGTGATAAATCTCAAATATTCTTTAACTAACTATTAAATATGTATAATTTGTTTTGAAGTGAGTCTATTTCGTGGACTAATATAACTTTGTGGAACTTTAAAAATAAATAAGTATTTGATATCTGTTTCATCTTCATTTTCAACTCTTCGACAGTGCTAACTCATAAACACATATGTTATATAATCTAGTCGATCATTAAACGTCTGACAAAATAAGTTCAGGGCCATTGACCAACCTATTCAATCCATTGAACAAGTGAAGTCAAGATACAAAGCTAGTAAGTATTCACTATCTAATCGTTTGGGTCTAAACAGCTATTCAATGATTTCTGGTCTTTGATATTTTACAGCTGATGTCTGTCTATGATGTAACAAAATTTATGTTGAATAATCTCAACAAAACCTCATCTTTTCACTAATTAAGGTCTTTTATCAGAATGTATACTAGTAATTTAATTAAATATCTTGAGATTTTGATGAAGGAATCGGTGTTATAAACAAAATGGTACACCAAAACATATCTGTGAAAATGATCTGTTAGAATGGAAATCTAAATTGTTTACACAGTAACTGAGAGTCAAATTTGTTTAAAGAAGTCCAACATCTGTTTCGTGAGTCATTCCTCATAAATTAAAATAATATCAAGTTTTAGGTCTGAGTGTTCGAAGGCACTGACCACGATTCCCTGGACTTATGGTTTCAAGTTAATGGTTGCCCATCACCAAATTGTCACTGCAATGTTAAGTGGAGTGATACTTCTCATGAGATATAAATCCGCAACACTGAGTATTATAATCAAATTTATTGCCAAAGCATTATTCATCTTTTAATTGATTGAATCAGCCTTTTGCTAGCTTCCTTAATGTACTGGCACAAGGCTGTTATTTTCTGAAATAATAAAATAGAGAGTGAGACAATAACTAACCCAAAATATAAAATAGAAATATCGCGAATTCACTAAAGTTGCAAATGTAAACTACGGATTTCTGACAAAATTTCGCATACATCAGAAGAAAAAAGAAAGTTGTAAGTTCAGCTCAATTTGGCCACACGGGTGAACAGTGTTGAAAATTTATGTAGTGAAAGGCATTTACTATGCGTTATAACTTTCTATTGGTTCAACAATTTATATCTCTTCAAGGTGATAATTCCTGCTTACTGCAACTTCTGAATTAGTTTATCACGAATACTCCTCCTAAAATTCGTAGAATTTTTTATTAGAATAGAAAATAAAAATTTAAATTCTATAAATTACGTCATGAACTGAGCCTTTTCAACCCATCCACTGAAAAACCAGTAAGCACTGGATATCTGTTTTATTCTAGTTAAGGACTCTTCAGTAGCACTGATTTACGACCCCTCCAGAAATTAAGACGCAAGACCCTCAGTTCTCGAAAACATTGGACTTAAGCAAACAAAAGGATAATGGTTCAATAGTCTAAGTTCTGAGAGCTTACAGCAAAACATAAAAGTCTTGGTTTCCACCATCGTTGGGATCGTGGATATTCACTGTCGAGAAATCTCATACTAAGACGAAATAACTGTCTAATCCTTTCTAGTTTTTTATTACGTGCTTAACTGAGACCAGCTTGTGATGTATTCGTCAAGCTTCAACACTCTCCACAACGCATTCAACATTAATTAATAAATTTTAGTGCCTAAAATGAGATTATGTCAGAGAAAAATTTATGTTTTTTATAGTAATAATAATACAGAAAAAACCGTTATATAGTTCTTTTACTCGTCGTCAGCGTATTCCCATTGAACCAGATGTTGATTTAAGACAATAATCCACAAAAACAACATCTACCATGGTTAATTAACGTTGCTATTAATCGTTAGATTTGCTTTGTGTACATTCCTATAACCATCTGTCATTTGTTAATAACATGCTGAGAGAAACAAAATTATAACACTAATCTATTTTTTTCCGTTCAGAAAATTTTAGAGCAATAATAATAATAAAAATTTTGCTTAAATCTTTTATACGTATATAAATATGTGGCGTAGTGTCATTCTGTTTATAGTTTTTTTAACTAATTGCTACCAAAATCATATGATGCTTTATGCTCTTCAAGGAAGAACGTTCTATGATCATTTCCGATAATAGCTACGTTGCTTTTATTTCAATGATAACGATTTTCAACAAAAAGAAAACACGATAATAAATAGGATAGATTGATTTGGAAGACGATTTTATTTTCCTTTTGCTAATGTTATAGTTAGTATCGTGAGAGAATTGTCTCAATATTTCCATTTAATCATGTTTTTTTAAGTTAACGTGAACTGTATACAATTTACAACATTAAGAATCTTTTGTATTGGATCGTATCAATGTACCAGTGACACGTATCTAAATTTTGCATAACTCCGGTAAAACTACTGTATCTTAATCTATATAATTTATGCAATTTTTTTTGTGAGGTTTACCTGAGCTGATCAATTGGTTGTGTGATATTTCTATCACTGTAAATACTACGTATTGTTTCGAAGCATTTTTTTATTAAAAATACAGTGACATATCTTCGAACTATTTATTATTTGGAAGAATTTGGACACACAATAAATATCCTGTACTAACTCATCTGTATCTCATTAAGATGATTTCTACAACATTCAGCAGGAAATACGATTTCATAAAAGGATCAACTTAATAGGTTCGATTGTATTGGCGTAAAAGATATTTGAGTGATGTGAAACCATACAACTAAACATTGGTGCAGTTTGGATACCCAACAAAATACAAAAATGGGTGGATGCTTCAAACATTACTGAGAATCGCTAACTTTTTGTCACTTCAGAGGAAAGTTTTTATCACCTCAACTTTGTGTTGAAATAGAAGTTTAAATCAACGGTCTGTAAACTTTACTGCAAAGCCAAGATATTTATAAATTATAATAGGAAATACAAGTTTCATAGAAATCTCCAATAGCAGCTGAATTGTAAAGTCATACCAAATTGTATTTGCTGATTTACACGTATGTATACGTGCAATGATAAAACATATGCATGAGTAATCGTGATATTTAATTAGGTATAGCATAATAAGGGAAATAAGTGGTAGCTTAGCAAAAGGATTTCACTAACCCAATAAATAAAGACGATAAATATTTGTCCCTATCCATTTCTAAACGATTATTAAAAATAGATCACAGATTTTTTTAAAAAAATTCATTTGTACAAATGTACGGGTGTGGACAAAGGTGAATGCTTAAATTTATTCAAGCCCTAGAGATATGATTTTCAAAACCTCCCTTGTGTATTCCAAAATCAATTCATATTTCCAATAAATCTATTCTGGTACCACTGATTTTGCTTTTTAAAATTAATATTGATGTGAGTAATGTTTACTTTTTAATTATCCTTGTTGATTTTATATTCCCAATTGACCTTAATAGATGATCAGATTATTTAAAGTTTACCGTTGTGTCGATGAATAAAAATACAGAGAATTCAGCGAAGGAAATCTTTTCGACGAAGTTGTGGATTATGTATGAACTCTGTGCACAAAAAACGATAAATCCAACCCCTCATTCTTCCTTGGCCTTAATTCGCTTCTCCAATATTTTTGGTTCATGCTTTTATTTTCATTACTATTTTGTTCTTCTCTAACAGTTTTTCATGACTATTATCTAACTGTTATTGAATAGATTTTTCTCATTTTTTCATCATATCTACGAAGTGGACAATTATCTCTGGTCTTTCTGACCTGTAAATTATTTTGATCCTCTTATTGTTCGCTAATCTATTGATTATTAAACAACCTTCTTTTGACATTTGAAATCTCGAATAACTTTACGATGTAATCTCGTCTATCCTTCTATAGATGCATATATTTGTCAAATAAATGTAAATACGAATGCACAGTATAAGCAAATGATTTCATCAAGAGGAAAATTTTCTTCGCTGAATTCTCTCTATATGATCAGGTTGTTCTAGGTGTTGTGCGCTAATATATACGATCGTGATAAATCTCGTCTTTTATTCTCGTCCAATTCAAACATGAATAAAGCTATCAAATGAATAATAAATTTGTTCAAATTAATTTTCAATTCACCCACTCATAAATTACATCAATGTGGAAATCATAATCGTTATATTTGTATTCAATATAAAATTTTGCATTTTTTACTTAGAAGTTGTGTACAAATTGACAACTATCAGCCACCTTTTTATGGAACAGTTACTGTTAGATATTACTAGGGGTTTGAAAGAGAATAATCGTTATTAAGGTAGAATTTCTTTCTTTGGGCTGAGTGATTTAATTGTGAAACTTTCTTAGTTCTTCTAGATGAAGTCATTTTCGAAAAATGTGTGGTAGAAGTGAGCCATTCAAATTTCTCTATATATGACCACCAGCTTGTTCTGTCAACCCTCAGCTTGACTAAATATCGTTATTCTTTGATGGCATGTTTGTTTTATCGGCCTCCAGTTGATCATGTTCTTGTATTAGTTCAAAAGTTTCGTATTTGGTTGATAAATTAGGTTTATTTCAATAAATGACAAAAGAGCCTACTTCGGTTCAGAGTTTTTGTAGATGATGTTGTTCGAAAACGTGAGATCAAAATTATCAAAGTTATCTGCCTTATCAACAAGTCGTGTCCAGCGCCTATTACAATTAACCAAGTCTACATTTCTGTACTCTAACATCCTAACCGACTGACTGAAAAATCACAAATAATAATCTTTGAAAGAATAAATTACTGCATTTTGAAATGAAACTTTTGGATGAAATTTTATAAAACAATATATCAAATACGATACTTCAGATTAAGTCATTATTGGCACATAATATCACCAGAGTATAGACAAATTTACAACACTGTTGAAATTCAACTTCCAGTACTCCATGTAATTCACTGAATAACAGATCTCATTTTTATTATCAATCCTTGTAGAAATAAAACTTTCGGTAAAATGACGTTATCTATAACCTCAATATAATAAAACTATTAGTTCGAAATGAAATCGAATTTC